GACCGTGGGGGAGGGGCAGCCGCACCTGGAGACAGAGTGAAGCCAGAAGAACAGCCAGGGGCCCCCAGGAAGGAAGGTCCGAGCAGAGGACGGACGAGTGCAGGGACACGGGGACGTGCTGCTCTGCCGGGGGCCTGGGCCTGGGCCGCGGGAGCGAAGTGGGCTGAGGACGGTGCTCGGCTCTGTGTCTAAGCACCAGGACAGAGCTGTCAGGGTGGCGCCTGTCGAACAAAGCTGTAGGCTGACAGGCAAGAGGCGCTGGGAAGAGGGAGGGGAGGAGATGTGTCCTCCACATGAGCAGTTCTGGCCACTCTGTCGCTGACAAAGCTGTCTGGGCTTCAAGTATGAGCGAGGAAAAGGTACTACTTTTTCTCCCCGACAGGGGCCCCCCTGCCCAGGCCGTACAGTCTCTTTGGGGGAAAGTAGGTCGCTTGTGTAGGGGAGAAAAAATTTCTTTTCTCACCCGTGGCCAGGTTCACGGCCGAGGCTGCTACAACAAAAGACAGACTAACAAGAGAAAAAGCACACAAGTTCATTTACTGTAAGTTTTATGTAGCTCTGGAGCCTTCAGAAATGAAGACCTAAAGAAACAGGGGAAAGTGCGTATTTTTATGGAGAGACATGCAGAAACAAAGTTGGGGGGACAGAGGGTATGATCTAATGGTAATAAACTTCCGGGGGGGTGTACTTAGCAAGGTCTGTTTGTTCCAATTCTTCTCTGAGTCCCTGTGTCTTCAGAGACAGGGATATTCCTTTCCTCTGGGTCTAGGTCGGACATCTCTCTCTGATGAGGGTCTTGTGAGCTACTTTAGAGGAAGGTCAGAGGATTCTTTCATGACCTGCTTCAGAGGAGAAAGACAGGAGAAAGTCAGAGAGACCTTCTTGCTTCTGTTACTTTCTCAAATGCCAACGTGCCATATTTTGGAGTACTATGTCCTCAACCCTATCACCTGAAACCAAAAGAGAGGTTGGAGCATTGAAGACTGAAAAGTCATTCCAGTACTGACATCAGCCATTCCTACTGCTAGGAGCCTTAAGAATCTGTTGCAGAGAAGGTACTGGTGAAGTCAGTTGACATAGGATTGTTTCCTTACCGTGCCGCTTTTTATTTCTTTTAATAACTTTCTTTTGCTAACTTCAAAAATAATATCAATTTATTATAAAAGGAAAGGTTGGAAAATTCAGAAAAATATAAGGAAGGAAATTTAAATCACCCATAATCTCACTCTCTAGCAATCATCACTATTGATATTTTAGGCAATGTTTATTCTGTAGGTGGTTCTGTTTCTGAACTGAAGTTTGGTGGTGGTTGTGGGTTACTGTCGGCTGCATGGGTGAGGGGCAGAGAGAAACACAACTTCTTCTTCCCCATACCTGGCAGCCACTGTGGGACAAAATGACCTCGTGGCATCTTTCCTTTGTTCCCTTCCAACCTCCCTCTACCTGCCTCGGGCAATCTTTGACCGTCCAGGCCCAGGCTGGAAGGGAAGCCATGGAGTCATCACCTTTACGGTCCTAAGTGGGGGCCACTGTATTGAAGCGAGGTCCACCCGTGGCATCTGTGCCCTGGATCCTCAGACCACCCTGAGTGGGCGTGTGCAGTCGTCACTCTCTGATGCATAAAACAAAAACCCAGAATCCCAGCAGTTTACAGCGACAGACATGTCCTCTCTGTCGGGTCTGCAGCTGATCTGTCCTGGCTCAGAATGTGAGTCAGGTTCAAGGAGTTCCGCATGTCTTTCATTGTCCCTGGACATCAGATCTGTGATGTATTCCTTCCCATGATGAATGGCAAGAGTGTGGGCAAATGAGGGACTCTTACTACACCCCTCAAGTCCTCTGCTCAGAATTGATGCCTTGTCCCTTCCATGTCCCTTCCCTCGCTGAACACTGAACATCTTGCAAGGTCTAATTCCAACTTTGATCTCCTCTGCGAAGTTTTCCTTGACCATCTCAGCCCATTGCAGTTTCTTCCTCTCTGAAAATCTATAGAACGTGGCTCATTCTGAATGGATTTAGTGTCATATGTCCCACATCTGTAGGTGCACAGGCGTCTGTCCACCTGTTTCTCAATGTGACGGCAAGCTTCTGACGAACAGGGGTCTTGTGCACCTGTTGGGTACTCACATCTACTTGTGGACTGATCGCTGCTTGCTTGATTTGCTCTTTATTCCAAGAAGCTGATATTTTAAAAGTAATGTATTTGCTGTTTCTTTTTACACAGCTGTACCCAGATCTTGCACTCTCAGAAGCTGTGAGAAAAGACAGAAAGCTGGGACCCGTCTCATTTCCTGTTTTATAGTTTCCTTATTATTCAACTCAGATTTGTCCAGTTTCCATTTACAACCGATGTTGGTTAAGTTTTGAGTTCCACTGCCTGTGCCAGGGCACCACAGGGGACAGTTGTGACCCGAGGGCCATATGTCTGACTGTAGGGACGGCCCTCCTCTGGCACAGATATACTTGGTGTTTTTGCTTTTTCATAAAAACAGACACAAAAACACAGCAGAGCACAGTCACTTAGAAGGTCAAACATTGTGCAGAAGCTGCAAAAGTAGGACATGTGTCAGGGAAAGTCACAGCTACAGATCCCGACTCTTCAAGGCACCCTTGTACGATGTGGCACGCCACCATATAGACGGGCTCTTCCCTTAACTGTCCTCGCAGAGGGTGACACGTGCTCGCCCTTTCTCGGATGATGATGAGAAACATGCTGTGCAGTCTTCGTCGTGCCCTTCGTTCCTCCTTTCATCATGTTAATATGAGATTCACGTATCTAACATTCTAAATCAAGGTTTGCACGTAACGTAGAATTTATCATTTTAACCATTTTTAAGTGTACCCTACAGTGGCATTAAGTACATTCACATTGTTGTCGAGGTTCTCTCCTACGGTGCTTAAAGTGTTTTTTTCAAGATGGGATCTCGCTATGTTGCCCAGGCTGGACTCCAAGTCCTGGGCTCAAGCAATCCTCCCACTCGCCTCCCGAGTAACTGGGACTACAGGTGCACACCACCATGCCTGGCTCTGGACTTAGAGCATTTTAATGCTGAGAAAAAAAATTTTAAAACTCAAAGCTTTGCCACTGATCAGCCTTGGGCAAATCACTCTGTTTCCTTATCTGTAAATAGCAATAGCAATAGTGCCTATGTCGTGGGATTCTCATAAGGACGAATGAAAAACACACCTGTAAAGCCCTAGCACAGAGTTCTGGCAGGTAGACTCTGTTATCCATCGTGGTTAGTAGTAGCTTTCAAGCCAAACAGGTAAAATTAAAATAGCTTTCTGCATCCTATATTATGATCACACTCACAGTACACTGCCCTTTCAAAGAACAAGTAAAAAGGTCTTGAAAAAACATATTGGAAGAAAACTTCTTGGCCGGGCGTGGTGGCTCACGCCTGTAATCCTAGCATTCTGGGAGGCCGAGGCAGGCGGATTGCTCAAGGTCAGGAGTTCAAAACCAACCTGAGCAAGAGCAACACCCCGTCTCTACTATAAATAGAAAGAAATTAATTGGCCAACTAATAGATATAGAAAAAACTAGCCAGGCATGGTGGCACATGCCTGTAGTCCCAGCTACTCGGGAGGCTGAGGCAGGAAGATTGCTTGAGCCCAGGAGTTTGAGGTTGCTGTGAGCTAGGCTGACGCCACGGCACTCTAGCCTGGGCAACAAAGTGAGACTCTGTTTCAAAAAAAAAAAGAAAGAAAACTTCTTTTTAATAAGAATTATCAAAGACATTGTATTTATTTTCCCTATTTAAGTTAACAAATCACCATTTTTGTGCATTCTATTTCTAGTAAATACCATAAGTCTGTACATTTTATTTGCCTATAGTCCTAACTTTCTGTCCAGTACACTCGGTTCTCAAACTCCAGGGTGCATAAAAATCATCCAGGAAGCAGATTGGAATGCAGACTTCCAGGCCTCACCCCAGAGATTCCAGTTCAGTAGTCTGGGAGCCCAGGAATGTGCATTTTCCTGAGCACCAAGGATCACACTTAGATAAATACTCCTATGGTATAAATAACATTTGTGTCTAGGTTCAGGAGGGTCCTTAATTTACTCCCTGTACTCCTACGATGTATTTTTTACTTTTAATATATTTTTCGTGCATTAGTTTATAAAACTCTATGTTACATAAAAATCCCAACCACTAACTATGACAGCAGTAACCCATAGTATTCGCTTTGCATGTGCATACCTCAGCTATACTGATTATGTAAAAATTAGTCCTGAATGCTAATGATTCTTTTGGAAACTTACACGCTTTATGTTTAGCCGTCTCATTGACATTCAGTATTAACAAGACGTGACATTAATGCTGGGTCACATGATATTCATTAATATAAACCACTCTAGAGACCATGTGTCCACGTTTGAGTGCTTTTAAACCACGGTCTTCCCTGCCTTTGTTTGGGCGGCTGTCTTTCTAGAAATGCCCTTTCTAATTCTGTCTGGCCCAGAAGTTGCCAAGTAGCAAACTTTGTGTTGTGATGGACCCACACAATTTGTAAAAAATAAAATAAATCACCAACATTTACAAAAATCCAGATTTCAGGCTTTGCCTTGTAAGCCAGAATCTCTAGTCCATAAGGCCTTGTGGCCCCCATGGCATCCACCAGCGAGAGCAGTTCCCCTGGGACATGGGACATGGGTTCCACTTTCATTCCAGCCCCAGGCTCCTCCCAGTGTATGAGGGGCTCCCAACCTCCAGCATTTGACACGTATGTTCTAGAACATGGAGTTTAACAGTTAGATACCATCGTATTTTTTGCTGGTGTTTCCTGTCTCCTCATGGATTGTGCACTATGGGAGGGAGGGGAGGTTTTACTCCGGCCTCAGCGAGGGAGTAACCTGCACTGGAGAAGGCCCTGCTGGTGTGGTTACCTGCTCATTTCACACCTGTACATCTCTCTCCAGCAAGACCATGAGTTCCTTGCAGTGTCTAGCATGGTAATGAACGCTTACTCATCTCATCTTTTAACATTTTATTTAGAATTTCTACTTGAATAACAAAGGAAAAAAAGAAGGCAAGGAAACCAATGAGAAAATGAATGCTAAGAACAAGGAATCTTTACTCGAGGTAAGCTTAATTTTGCAGAGTGGAAGAAAAGAGAAGGAGTTTTGCTATATCTATTTTTAAGTTATTTGCTTCCCAGAACAATGCGAAAGTCTGAGACATGCACTGAAATGTTAAGCCGGGGTTTGAAAATCAAATTATTACTAAATTATAGCTATTTAGATAATTCAACTTGTGATTTACTGTACAGGTGTTGGTGATGATCACTACTGGGGTGTGTTCCAGAAGCTTATTTGCAATTGATTTTTTGAAAACTCCTAATGAGTTTTCACATCGTGACTGTGCTAAAAATCGAAGCTCTGTTCCCAGCACATAAGGCTAGTGAAATGAGTGCGGATCACGGGTCACACATGGTCACACACTAGAGCCATGACTAGATCTTACTTGCCCACGACAGTGTGTGGACCTTCTGTTGAGTCAGTAGGTCTTGGACTTTTCTTGAAAAACTAGAAGACCTGCTGATGCCTAAGCCGGTGTTCCCACCTGGAGCCAACTGGCAGACGCTGAAGGGCGCCCTCTCCCGTTCACTAAGGTCCTGCCCCGACGCCCTTGGTCTCTATTCCCTGCCCGCATCTCAGCCCTGCACCAGATGAAGCTGGTGTTAGTACCCGCAGCTGTTCCCCAGACCCTGAGCACCTGTCACAGCTTCTGCTTCCCGGGTCCTTGAGCACAGTGGGCATTTCTGGGAGGCCCAACAGTACAGTTCTTGTTACAGAACTCCAGAGTGCTGTACGGTTGGATGTCAAAGAAAATGCAAGGCATGTTATGCTTTGAAAAATCAGCATTACCCTTCTGTCTAATCTGGACCCAAAATCTGCATGAATTTAAGAAATTATTGCTAGGACTATTAGCACTAGCTAATTTGGGAAGAAATTGAGGGAAAGTTGAACAAAAATGTTTTCCAGTTCTACTGCATATAAATTTACTTGGAAGATGCAAAATTCAGTTATTTTGCATTTATGAGACTAAATGGGAGGATGTTGAGAGTTATAAAAAGCAAAAGATAAGTTTGAGCATTTGAACTGTCATAGAATAATATGCAATTTTATTCTATTGCTTTTTAAAAGAAATGTATTAAGAAATACAATTATTTGCAAGTTTTGAGATTTGAAAATCTATACTTAGAAAATGTGCTTTCTCCTTCTTTTCTGATACTGTAGTATTAATAATTGCCTCTGTCATTCTTTGAAAAGAAAACTATCCCAATAAGATATTGACTTATTTTATATGTTATTATATAATATAATTTTTTCTACAATACTTACCAGCAATGAAATAGTAATTATTTTTTACTTATCAGGAAAGTAATAATTTTTCTGGCTTTGCATTTGTAATAACAATGGCCTTTATTAAATGCTTGCTTGTATAATATACCAAGATTGTACTGACAACCTACCTTATGAAGTTGGGCTATTATTATTCCATTTTTACAAGTGAAATGAGGTTTCGTGGCCCATAGTCACTTGAGGTCCAACTCAGAAGCCACAATTCTTGACCTCTGTGTTATTCTTCCTCCCTTTGGGCAAATATTGTGCAATGTAAACTTACGCATTCAATCAGAGTCGTAGCCAAAACTAACTTTTAGTTTAAAGGCTACTGTACCAATTTGTTGAAATGTGAACAGGAATGTGTGCTTTACCTCTTGTGTGCTTTATATGTCATCGGAATCTCAATTTCAGGAAAGTTTCTGTGGAACGTCTATCATTGTACCAGAACTCGAAGGAGCTCTTTATTTGAAAGAAGATGGAAAGAAATCCTGGAAAAGGCGCTATTTCCTTTTACGGGCTTCTGGAATTTATTATGTACCCAAAGGAAAGACTAAGGTCAGAGAGATAAAGCAAAAGCAAAAATAAAAAAGCACTTTATCAATAAAGCATTTCACAAAAGTGAAGCTAAAGAAATACTGAGGTGGCAATTTCAATACACGCTGTCGCTCTAGGATCTGTGGTACTGCAGTGTTTATAGAAATACGTATATGCCCGATTGGACAAAGTTACTGAAACCCTTTTCCATTTTTTCCATAATTCTCTCTTAAAAATAAAAGAATTTTATGTATTTTAAAATGAGATTTCAAAAAGTATGCCAAATGCATGTTTCTAAAGATTATTTTGTTACTCTACATATCCATTTCCGGGGACTATTTTTCCCCTGTATTTACAATCTTCTTCTATAATCATTGCAGTAAAACTTCTTCCACCTGGAATCACAGAGGCATCAGAGGTCTTGATAACATCCTCATTGAGATTTTAGCCCTTGTACTCAGAACATTTGAATTGCTCTCTGAGGTGTACTGTATGCATTTTCCTGCCTAATTTAACAGAATATTTTAGGCGTCAGTTAATTTAGTGATTTGGGATTATTGCCTCAACCTCCAAGTATATCTTAAATTCTTCTTTGAAATGTAATTTTAACTGTCATTCCGGCCATTAGCTTTTTCTAAGACCTTTCTCGAACTCCTGACCTCCAGCCATCCTCCCACCTTGGCCTCCCAAGAGTGCTAATATTAAAGGCCTGAGCCACCGGGCTGGCTCTAAGACTTTTCTTAGAGCCTTGTGACATTTCCACCTTTTGTTCGCCTTTAAAGAGCCCTAGGATGTATCTTTTATCTGTATCTGGGGTAAGCCAAAGCGTTTTGCCTTTCCTTCAGAACGCAGGGCGCCACCAAATGGCGTGTTTGTGGATTGCATGCTCCCTCTGATGGAGCTTAACCCACCTATCCAAGCAGGTGAAGTCAGGTCGCCCCCTCTAGAAAGGAGACTCTGGCATCCGTGTGGGAAGGCAGGAGGGGCCTTGTGGGTGACTCTGATCCAGGGTGCAGCTGTTCTCCTCCTCTTTGACTGTGGTCTCAGTCTTAGATCTGATGCTTCCCTCCTATCTCGCTGGGGACCTAACAACTGACCCATAGTTCATTTGTTTTATTTTAGAAATGTTATGTCTTGGGCATTTAAATATAAGTGAGACATATAAATAAACCTATCACAAACAATCTACTGAATGATAAAAATTAAGTGTTCTCATTAGTGTGGGCAAGGATACCTCTCACTGCTGCAATTAACATTGGGATGGAGGAACTAGACAGTAAGTCAAGGAAAAGAGTAAGTATAGTTATTGGAAAAGAAGACGCAAAAGCTCTCATTTTTGACACGTGGCATGATTATCTACCCAGTACTCAACTGAAAACCTATTAGGACCAAATAAATTACCAAATAAATTATTTTCATTTAGACAAATAATATGCAAATTAAAATATAATGCAAAAGATTTCATGCATAGTAAAAACAAAAAATGCAAATCATCTAACAATGAACTTAAAAAATGTTCAAGACCTATATGGCATAAAATACAAAATTTAAGAAAAGAAGTGAAGTAGAACTGAATAAATGGAAATGTACCATGTTGCTAGTTGAAAGATATTAATTCTCCCCATATTTTTCTATAATATAAAGTCAATGCGATCCAAATGAAAATTTTAGTAGGATTCTTTTTACTCGAAGTTCACAAACTGATTCTAAAATTCATCAGAAAAAGACACTTCTAGGCCAGGCACAGTGGCTCACACCTGTTAACCCAGCACATTGGGAGGCCAAGGTTGGAGGATCACTTGAGACCAGGAGTTCAAGACCAGCCTGGGCAACATAGTGAAATCCGGTCTCTACAAAAAATTTAAAAATTAGCCAGGCCTGGTGGCTCACACCAGTAGTCCCAGTTAGGTGGGAGGATCCCTTGAGCTCAGGAGTTCGAGGCTACAGTGAGCTATGACGATGCCACTGCACTCCAGCCTGGGTGACTGAGTCAGACTCTGTCTCAATGAATGAATGAATGAATGAATGAATGAATGAATAAATAAGTAAAAGAACAAGCCATGGAACAGTATAATAAAATCTCATTCATGTTTTGAAAATTGTGTAAGTCTTTGCATATAAGTGGGTATATCTACACATACATGTGTTCATAAATGTTTACCCAAAAACATTTGGAAGAATACTACCAAACTATTAACTATGGTACCTCTAGATAAAAGAGTGAATAAGAAAAAGGGGTGGGGAATGTAGATGTGCATTTATGTTATATATATAGTTTAATTGTGACAAGTATGCATTATTTTTGTAATTAAAACTTTAAAAATCTGGAAGAAAATATCTTTTAAGATAAAAATGCACAACCATATATAATTGGAATATAAGGAATAATTGCACACAAGGGTGTGACAATTCTGCTCTTTATTCTCTAACTAGATAAAGAAGTATAGAATGTGAAAGAAAAACAGAGCGTCATGGAACAAATTCGTAATTGAAGTGTAACCAAATATGTAGATTAGAGGTTGCAGTCTTCACAACACACATTATGCATGGAGGAGAGGTCTCTGTTTCCATGGCAACATGCCTGCAGTAAAAAGAAAGCAGGAAAGAAATCCATTTGCTCAGGAGGAAGCACATGAAGTGTGTGCTAATTTACTCAGCCTCCAATTTACGTCTTATTGTTCATTCTGTGCGGGGACTTTTTTTTTTTTAATGCCCAGTTACAAAATCCTTCCCTGACTTAGAATGGCAAAAGCCAAAATGAAATTTCTGACGAGGTGGTCACCTTGTTGGGACTGCAGCAATAATGACATCTCAAGGACAGTCTGTTCTGACTCTGGGAGTCCCGGGCAGGCACCAGAACAGCAGTACGATCTTTCACTGCGTTTCTAGGCCAGTGCACACTGTTTTGCCTTGGTTGCACGCTTTTTATAATTGACAAATAATTGTACATATTCACGGCATACATAGTGACGTTTTGATATAACACATATAATGTGTAGTTATCAGATCAGGATAATTAGCATATTATCATCTCAAACATTTATCACTACTTTGTGTTGGGAACATTGAATATCTTTCCCCTCTCAAAATGCAGGCTCGGCTTTTAGAAAATTATGTATGGTCATTGTTTATATAAATTACGTACATGTCAGTATTTTCTCTATTAAAATGTAATCCTTAGTTGTGCCATCAAAACAACCTTGGGAAATTATTAACTGTCATCTCAGTTGAGCTTATTTCTTCTCTTTCTTTCAGACATCTCGAGATCTGGCATGTTTTATACAGTTTGAAAATGTCAATATTTACTATGGGATTCAGTGCAAAATGAAATATAAAGCACCCACTGACTACTGCTTTGTTTTAAAGGTATGTTGTAAGAAATCCTTAATTTAGCTTTATAAGCCATTTAGGTAATATTGTCTTTTAAGGAAAAAATGTTAAATGTTATAGAATTATCCACAAGTGTACCATAAAAAAATTTTTTTTAAACCAAAATATGAGCAGGGGAAACATTTCTATTAGTTTGGGTCATTTCTCCCCAATACCTGTATCTGAGCCTGAAACTTTAATCAGCTGGGCTTGTCATCAGTTCTGAAAATAAAAGTTCTACATTTTGAACATATTGACATATAATTTTATTGATAAAACTGAGAAAAGTTCTCAGTTCTTTATTTATTGGACTGATTCCACTGTAAGAATGAGTTTTATAAATTAGAAGGTTGTCAAGATTTTCTAGAAAAAAAATATAGAAAATAGCAAAAAACAATCTTCAAAAAAGGTACTGGATTATGAAACTTTAAAGGCATGTATTGTCAAAAGGCAATATGCATTGTCATGTGTTTGATCTGGTTTATATCTTTTAAGACTAGCATCTCAGACAGTAGATGTGCTATTAGAACCACAGATGTGATGTATTGAGGGTCTTTATGTCTACAGACCTCTGGGATTAGGACTATGGTATGTTTTGCTTTGTGTTTGTTCTAAGTCAAATACAATACTTAGGCTAAATCAATCGTGTTTAATATTTTTGACTCCTTGCACAATTCTGTCACTTATTATAATCATCAAATAATAATCGGTTGAAATTATTGGCTTCATTGAGGCCTCAGGATATATTGTGTAGTTCTCATTCCGACATCCTAGTCCTCTTTTTCATTACAAAGCATCCACTTTTAGTTATTTACACTGTATTAGCTCAGCCAGCCTGACACTGCCCCAGTGGCTGTCTACCAAGGGCATTTTGCCCCCAGGGGACATCTGGCAGATGTCTACAGACATTTTTGATGTCATATCTTGGGGGCGCAGAGCGGGTGCTACTGTCTGGTGGGCAGAGGCCAGATATGCTGCTCAAACCCAGCAGTGGGCAAGACAGCCCCAACACCAAAGAACTCTCTGGCCCAGATGCCAACAGTGCGCCTGTTGAGAAAACTGCGTTCGATAGAAGAGCCCGGAGTGATGGCCACTGACTAAAGGGAGAGGCTGGATTCCTTCACTCGTTCATTCATTCTCGGAACATTGGTTGAATGACAACTATCTTCTAGGCACTGTTCCAGGTGCTAGGAATATAGCAGCGAGCAAAACATGCAATAATCCCCGTCCTCATGGAGTTTGCATTCAATGTGAGGGAAACGTGACAAACACGTAATGTGATGTCAGGCAGTAGTAAGGCGTGGGTCAGTATGAAGCGGGGCAGTGAACAGAGCATCCCAAGGGCCAGGGCTTCTTTGGATGGGATGGTCAGAGAAAGGCTCTCCAAGGGAGTGACATTTGACAAAATATGTGAATGAAGTGAGGAAGCAAGAATTGGCTGGGAGAAGAATCTTCCAGGAACAAGAACAGTAAGTGCAAAGGTCCTGGGGCAGGCAATCTGTTTGGTGAGATGAAAGAGAGCGGTGAGGAGGATGCCCTGCCTGCTTCTGGTTCTTGCACCTCTTTGTCTGTTCCTGGTATAAGAAAGATAGTAAGAATAAGGACAAACATTCATATAGCATTTAGTTTGTAGATGTGGAACGTGTGCACAGAGACTCCCCAGCCAATAAGTGGTTGAGTCAGGATGAGAACACAGGCAGTGTGACTCAGAGCCCTTCTCAGACACTGTTCATTAGGCCACCATAGATCTGACACGAAGCATCTTCTGCCACCCTGCTCCTCCCACGTTGCCCCCTGCCCTTGAACCATGTCCCCATTTGACCCTGTGGCCTTTGTTTGAGAAATTACCAAAATGGAACTCCTAATGTCCATATAGGCATTCCAGCACACTTCATCCCTGAAGCACTGGCCACGCGTCTTAAACTGGGAGAAGGTGGTTTTGGAGAGAGTTTCTGAAATGGTGGTCAGTGAACTGGCTGAATCAGTGTGACTGGAGGCTTGTTGAAAATGCAGGTTCCCAGGCCCTGGACCACTGAATCAAAATGTTTAAGGAGGAAGCCCAGGAATCTCTATTTTTACTGAGCACAGTCAAGTTTTGCACTCAGAATGTTAGACTGTTTCCTCTCTCTAACCATCAGTAGTCAGGGCTTGGCTGGTGATGAAACACCCTTCAGAGTGGGCAGATGGGACAAAAGTCTAGCAGATGGGAGCAAACCCGAGGGCTGGGGTCCAGAGGCCAGAGCAAGGATGTTCGTCAAGAGAAAGACAAGGTCTCAGACTAGAGGATGGGGGTTTAGACACAGTGAATGGACGGATGCACAAGTTTGGGACTAGGTGGTAGAATCACAGCAGGAGTTGCACTACCTGGCCTGAGACACAGGCCATCCTGGGCTGCACCAAGAACGGCAGTGCTGGTCCCAGGGTATTGAATTAGAACTTCTAAAATCCCTCCCATCCAAGGCCCGTGTCCTCAGGAGAGAGCTGAGGGCCTTCCCAAAGGGGGGAGAGGGCTCAGAGGTGGAGAAGCCAGCAGGGCCGATAGATCTGGAAACAAGACTCATGAGTATCGCTAGCAGAATGTGCATTTCCTGTTCCAAAACAATGGGAATTTTTATTCATTTGCTGAGTAAAAGGGTCTGTTGTGGTTTGAGAACCTAATTTGTTTATGAGCCTTTTGGTCACTTATTTCCTTTTCTGCCCACTATTTAAAAAAAAAAAAAGCTCTTCATATTCAAATATTTCATTAGCATGAGCCAATTTCCAAATTACAAAGAATGTGTGCATAGATTGCATGAAAGAATCAGGATACTAGAGACACGTTAAGAGACTATGTGATTCCTTTGACACTTGCAGACTGTCAAGTCCAGGCCCGAGTTTCTCATCAGTAGGAGCCTAATGAATGCGACAGGCCATGGGGGGCTGTCAGAAAGATGGAGTTTGAGTGTCGGCCTTGTCGCCCACTAACTAGGTCACTACTGAGGCTCTACACCTCATTGCCTCATCTTCAAAGTGCAGATCAGAGTACCCACCCCTTCTTGTGAGGATTAAATAAAATATGCAGATAAAATCATTAGTACAATGTCTTGAAACATAACAGCACTCAGTAAGTGGTTGTTATTATGACTGTACTCTAGTATTAAATATTTTTATTGTTTGCCAGTGGTTCTCAAACTTTAGTTCACATCAGAATCACTTAGAGGATTAAGACACAGACTGCTGGGCCCCCAGAGTTTCTGACTCGATAAATGGGGTCAGGCCCAGAAATTTGCTTTTCTTTTCCTTTTTATTTAACTTTTTAAACTGACACACAGAAATTGTACATATTTATAGGGTACCATGTGATATTTTGATAGATGCATGTATTGTATGATGATCAAATCATGATGATTAGCATATCCATCACCTTCACTGTTTATCATTTCTTTGTGTTGAGGACATTCAAAGTCCTCTCTTCTAGCTATTTGAAATATACAATGCATTATTAATAACTGCGGTCACCTGCTGTGAATAACTGTAGTCGCCCTACTGTGCAATAGAGTACCAGAATTGGCTCCTGACTGTGCCATTGTACCCACTGGCCAACCTCTCCCCATCTCCCCCTGCCCCCTACTCTTCCCAGCCTCTGGTAACCACTGTTCTCCCCTCGACTTCTAGAAGATCAGTTTTTCAGATTTCACACGAGTGAGATCACGTGCTATTTGTCTTTCCGTGCCTGGCTTATTTCACTCAATAGCATGTCCTCCAGGCTCATCCATGTGGTCGCAAATGACAGGATTTCATCCTTTTTCATGGCTGAATAATATTATGTGTGTATATATACCACATTTTCTTTATCCATTCTTCCATTGAGGAGCATTTAGGTTGATTCTGTATCTTGGCTACTGCGAATAGTGCTGCAGTAAACATGGGATTGCAGGTGTCTGTTCAACATACTGATCTCATTTCCTTTGGGTACATACCCAGTAGTGGAATTGCTGGGTCAGATGGTAGATCTGTTTTTGACTTTTTGAGGAACCTCTGTGCTGTTTCCCATAATGGCTGTACTAATTTACATTCCCACCAACATGTAGGAGTTCCCCTTCCTCCACACCCTCACCTGCATTTGTTAGTTTTTGTCTTTTTGGCAGTAGCCTCACCTGGGATGAGGTGATTGATATCTCATTGTGGTTTTGATTTGCATTTTCCTCATTTTTAGTGCTATTGAGCATTTTTTAATATTTCTATTGGCCATTTGTGTGTCTTTGGAAAAATATCTATTCATGTTTTTTGCCCATTTTTAAATCAGATTATTTGGGTTTTTGCTTTGTAGTATGTTTTGAAATTAAGTAGTGTGATGCTTACAGATTTGATCTTTTTACTCAAAATTGCTGTGTCCATTCAGGGTCTTTTATAGTTCCATATGAATTTTAAGATCTTTTTTTCTATTCTATCAAGAATGACATTGGAATTTTGATAAGGATTGCATGAATCTGTAGATCACTTTGGGTAATTTGGACATTTTAACAATATTAATTCTTGAATTTATGAACATGGGATATGCTCCCATTTATTTCTATCCTCTTCAATTTCTTTCATCAATGTTTATAATTTTCATTGTAGAGATCTTTCACCTCCTTGATTAAATTTATTTCTAAGGTTTTTTGTGGCTATTATAAATGAGATTACTTTCTTGATTCCTTTTTCAAACAGTTAGATGTTGGTGTACAGAAATGCTACTGATTTTTGTATGTTGATTTTGTATCCTGCAACTTTATTGTATTTGTTTATTAGTTCTAACAGTTTTTTGGTGGCGTCTTAGGGTTTTATATATGTAAGATCATGTTATCTGAAAACAGGGCTAGTGTGACTTCCTCCTTTCCAATTCGGATGCCTTTTGTGTCTTTCTTTTGCCTAATTGTTCTGGCTAGGACTTCCAATACTATGTTGTCGAATAGTAGTAATGAAAGTGGGCATCCTTGTCTTGATCCAGACACTGGAGAAAAATCTATTAACTTTTT